CCGCTCGTCATGGGAGGGCGAGTTGGATGTCACTCCCATTGGATTGTATCTGTCAGGACCCTTCCCGCTGTCATGAGAGGACAGTGGAAGTACCAGTGCACCTCATTGAACAATCCCTGTATGTTACATCTTTTGTGCGACCCCTGTTTATTCTCCGTGCCTCCATCGTTACACCTGGAGATGTATATGACATTGGACCTTCTTGCGCTGCGAAATTCCCCCCTCTCGCAGATGTGGCCCTCCTCCCTATCGAGGGCTTACCTCAATGATGGGTTTTAGGACCTGGAGAGGTGGCATGTGAAAACTAGGGGGTTGAGGGGTTTTTTATTCAAATTTTTAGTTAAATTTTTAACGGGTTCTAGGGAGGGGGAGGGTTTGATTGGAATGCGGGCTGTGGGCATGGGAGATAACCCATTAAGGGGAGGGGCGGGCCTGGCAAGGAAGCACAGTGTGGGAGGTGGGGATCCCGGGGTCGAGGGGGCAGTCAGAGTTTGTCCGGATAGTGCTTTGAACATCACTACTATGAGTGGGAGGAGTAGATATGGCGGGAGCAGGGGGCCATATCTAGTTAGGGGAGTGCACACCTGCTGTTTATGAGTGGTGGTGCGTTCCGGCCCCCAAGGCTCCACCCGTTCCCCAGGTTGCACAGACCCTCAAGGCCAGGCCCTCCGGCTGATGCTGTGCAATGCCAGGTCTGTAGTAAATAAAGCCCCCCTCATCTGTGATCTTATTGGTGAGGGGGGAGCGGACCTGGCAGGTATTACGGAGACCTGGTTGGGCCAGGAGGGGGGTTCCCCTCGTTGAAATGTGCCCGCCAGGTTTCCTTGCATTCCATCGGCTGAGGTCACAGGGCAGGGGCGGGGGAGTAGCAGTTATTATTAAAGAAGGTCTGAGACCAAGGGAGGCCACTGTTCCTCACACGGCCGGCTGTGAGTCCCTCCTTGTGAAGTGGGGTCATGGGGTTCAGATGGGTTTGCTGATCATGTACTGGCTCCCTGCCACGTGGCAGCAGCCCTGCCCTAGCTCCTTGACGTTATCGCTGTGGTGGCGGTTGATACCCCCAGACTTATGGTCATGGGGGATTTCAACCTGCCATCCAGGGGTGAGACGTCGGATGTGGCTTGGGAGTTTATGGCTTCCATGACAGCTATGGACCTAACCCAGTTAATTCATGGCCCTACCCACACAGGGGGAAACACGCTGGACCTGGTTTTTGTCTCTGGACAGTGGTTGAGTGATCTTGAGATAGGAGAGATAGTCACCGAGCCCTTGTCATGGTCGGATCACTCTCTCCTTTGCCTTGACCTTTGAACCGCTATACTCCATCGCAAGGAGGCGGAGCTGGTAAGATGGTTACGCCCCAGGCACCTGATGGAACCTGATAGGTTCCAGATGGAGCTTGGGCCATTTCCCGAGGCTCTGGCACATGCCTCGACTAGGAACCTAGTGGCCGCCTGGGATAGGGTGGCTGCTGGAGCTCTGGATCGGGTCATGCCTTTGCGGCCTCTGACCCGGCGCCGATCTCACCTAGCTCCTTGGTTCACTGAAGAGCTGAGGGAGATGAAGCGCCGGAAAAGACGTCCAGAGAGTAGTTGGAGGGCCAGTCTTTCTGAATCCGACCAGACACTGGTAAGATCTCATATTAAGAATTACCTAGTGGCAATAAAAGCAGCAAAATGTACATATTTTGCTGCTCTTATTGCATCATCAGATAATTGCCCGGCCGCTCTGTTTAGGGTGACCCGCTCCCTGCTCCACCAGGAAGCATGGGAGGACCCCTTGGAGGGTAGAGCTGAGGATTTTATTCAATATCTGCATGACAAAATCACTCAGATTCAGGAAGTTCTGGACTCTGACTGGATAGTTCCAGGGGGGATGACTGAGGCAGGTCTTGAGAATGTTACCTGGGATGAGTTTGACCCTGTGATCCCTGACGACGTGGACAGGATTCTGGGTGGACTGAACGCAACCACATGTTTATTGGACCCGTGTCCTTCCTGGTTAGTGCTGGCTTCCCGGGAGGTGACGCGAGACTGGCTCCAGGGGATTATAAATGCTTCATTGGGTGAGGGTGACTTCCCCGCCGCCTTGAAAGAGGCAGTGGTGAGGCCTCTCCTCAAGAAGCCTTCCCTGGACCCGGCAGTGTTGGCTAATTATCATCCAGTCTCCAACCTTCATTTTGTTGCTAAAGTTGTTGAGAGTGTGGTTGCGTGACAGCTCCCCCAGTACCTGGATGAATCGTCGTATCTGGATCCGTTCCAGTCGGGCTTCAGGCCTGGGTACAGCACGGAAATGGCATTGGTCGCATTGGTTGATGATCTCTGGAGGGCTCGGGACAGGGGTTGCTCCTCTGTCCTGGTCCTATTAGACCTCTCAGTGGCTTTTGATACCATCGACCATGGTATCATGCTGCACCGGTTGGAGGGGTTGGGGGTGGGGGGCACCGTTTTGTGGTGGTTCTCCTCCTATCCGTGGTTTCGGGGTGAAGTACCACCAGTATGCTGATGACACCCAGCTGTACATCTCCACCCCGGACCACCCCAACGATGCACTTGAAGTGATGTCCCAGTGTCTGGAGGCCGTGTGGATCTGGATGGGGAGGAACAGGCTCAGGCTCAACCCATCCAAGACCGAGTGGCTGTGGACATCCTGATATAGTCAGTTGACGCCATTGCTAACTATTGGGAGTGAATCGCTGCCCCCCACGGAGAGGGCTCACAACTTGGGTGTCCTCCTGGATTCACGGCTGTCTTTAGAAGAGCACTTGATGGCTGTGACTGGGAGGATTTTTCATCAGGTTCGCCTGATTCACCAGTTGCGTCCCTTTCTGGATCGGGACTCCCTACACACAGTCACTCATGCCCTCGTCACTTCCCGCCTGGACAACTGTAATGCTCTCTACATGGGGCTCCCCTTGAGGAGCACACAGAGGCTCCAACTGGTGCAGAGTGCTGCCGCGTGGGTGGTTATGGGAGCAACATGGCACTCCCGTGTGACACCTCTCCTGCGCGAGCTGCACTGGCTCCCGGTGGTCTTCCGGGTGTGGTTCAAAGTTTTGGTCACCATCTTTAGAGCGCTCCATGGCTTAGGACCTGGTTATTTACGGGACCACCTACTACCACAAACAGCCTCCCATCGGCCGGTACGCTCTCATAGAGAGGGGCTCCTCCGGGTGGCGTCAGCCAAACAATGTCGACTGGTGGCCCCCAGGGGGAGGGCCTTCTCTGTGGGGACACCCACTATCTGGAACGAGCTCCCCCCTGAGATACGGAGGATCCCTGCGCACTTTCCGCCGTGCTCTTGAGACCCTCCTATTCCAGCAAGCCGGCCTGGCCAAATTTTCTCCCCTATTTTAAAATTCTTTTAAATCAAAATTTTAATCAGTTTTAAATTATTGGGATTTTTAATAGTCTTGGGCTAAATTATTTAATCTGGTTTTAATTATGTTTCTATCTTTTGTATCTAAGTATTTTATTTTGTGCCTATTCACTGCCCTGAGTCCTTCGGAAGTAGGGCGGTATATAAATTTAATAAAAACAAACAGAAACAAACAAACATGAACATTGGAGCAACTTTAATTTTTTTCTCCATTCCTTTGAATAAATTAATGAGACAAATTATAGTCTCATTAATTTTTTTTACCTTTTAAATGCATTTTTTTACTACCTATTAGCCCGAATAGGTAGTTAAAAAATGCTTTAAAAGGTTAAAAAAACAGGCTCTGACAATCGCTCGCCACAGCTGTGATTGTTGGAGCCTTTTTTTTTACCTTTTAAAAGCATTTTTTTAACTACCTATTCAGGCCAATAGGTAGTAAAAAGATGCTTTAAAATGTAAAATGCTTTTAAATGGTTTAAAAGGTAAAAAAAAAAAAAAATGTCAGAATTCCAGGAAACCCTCCCCCAAATTCCAGTAAAAACAATGAAGATGTGCTTATGAGAATTAAAATTGGTTCTTGTTTTTTATCCATGTCCATTTTCATTTCTATATACTGTACATACAGTGTCTGTGTGTCTCTGTGTGTGTCCTGCCAACCTAACAATTCAAAAGCATGTAAATGCAAGAAGATAAATAGGTACCACTTCAGTGGGAAAGTAACTATGTTTCGTGCATCTTCAGTGCATAGTCATGCCAGCCACATGACCATGGAAGCATCTTCAGATATAGGTTCTTCATTTGTGAATGAAAGATGAGCACCGCCCCTTGGGTTGGTCATGACTGACAGGGGAAATCTTTACCTATACCCACCTAAACCTTTACTTGAAATATATAAATTTGTTTTTGTGCATGTGTCTTTTCTTTGTCTTTGTCTTTTTGTCAGTCAGCCCTTCAGTGTATTACAGATTAGGAAAGCTATATCATATAAATCAGTACTACTTTTATCTGAACTTGTCTTGGTAATGGTCTTTCAATGCTACTACCTTTACCTTCTACACTATCTCTCTTTGGATATTGAGAAAGCATTGGAAAAGCAAAGCAATTGCAATGTATTTTTATTCACATACAATCAAACTTCCCTGAATTGTTCCTTTCTCAACTCTCAAATTAGGATTATTCTCCTGAGTCAAAGAAAACTCTTTTCTTCAATGGCACACTTTTATGGCCAAGGCTCATTCCCAATTCCCCTTCTAATTATTAAAATCATGATTATTTATACTCTCTCCTTTGAACAAGGTTTATGGGATTTCCACCACCACAATTAGTTGCCAATCAATGTGATAACAAATGGGATAGACAGCATATGATAATTTATTTGTAACAGCCTCCTGTCATGAAATCAGAGTTTGGGGTAAAGCTTGGCAAATACTCTAGCAGTCTGAAATTGCAGATAGCTCTTCCAAATCTGGGGGCAAACTGGACCTTCTTCACTGTAGTTGTGGTGTTTTTGTGATCTCTGAGATTTAGCTCTGTGCTGAAGAAAGAACTCTAGGAAGGATCTCCTGCAGTATACTGTATGTCAAATGTTGCTGCTGCTGCATATACAGCTTTTTCTGCTTCAGTTTCTGTCTCAAATTCCCTGTGCCAGTACGCTGATGAAATGTCCTTTTAAGGTGATCATAGAAGAAAAGGAGTGGTTCCATTACTACAAGCCAGGAGACTACTGGATTACTGGAATAATGTCAGGAATCATAGCTCGATTGCATCAATTTTCGTTCTCCGAGCCTCCAACCCACCAACTGAAAAGGTAATTTTAAGCACATCCAAGGATTCTGGTGATTGATTTTTAACTGTTTCAATGTCTTTTCTTTTTTTTACATATATATGTGTGTGTGTGTGTGTGTGTGTGTGTGTGTGTGTGTGTGTGTGTGTAGGTCTTTGGTTATTTGGGTCTTCTCCCACGTAAAATTGGAAGTGTCTTGGCGACGTTTCGACGAAGTCTCATTCGTCATCTTCAGGCTGGTGTTCTCGGCTTCGTGCTGCTCCTGGAAGCATTATCTATTATAAAATTATATATATATATATATATATAATTTTCTTTTAATACAAACATTCCCTCTTTCAGTAAACACTTTGTCATCAGAGTACATATTTTTGTGTCATGACAATTAAAATTTACCACCATATTCATTATTTGTATCTATTCTTATATTACTACAAATATTAACATACCTATTCTTATAACATTTCTCTTTTTATTTGCCATTATAATACATTGCTTTCATATTTATTCTCCAACCATTGATAGAATAACTCCCATATATTGCAATAATCAGATTCTTCCTTTCTTTTGATTGCAAGTGTTTATCTATTCATTTCTGTACATTCTAATATTTTCTTACTCATATTTTCATCCGTAGAGATCTCTTCACTTTTCCAATTTTGTGCAAAAAGAATTCTAGCTGCAGTTATTACGTGAATAATCTAGTATACATTTTCTTTACTATAAGCTTCTGATAGAATACACAACAGGAATAGTCCAGGTTTTAAATCGATATGTTGCTTCGTCATCTTCTCCAACCACATACCTCCAATTTCTCTTCTAGGAATTATTTCCTTTCCCCTATTCCTCACCTTGAAAAAGGCAAGTCATTATTGCTCATCCCAATTTGCTTTAGAGGAATGGCTCCTGGGGAATCTGATGATTTTGTAAAACTTGAGTTTGCAAAATTTCTTTTTAAATTCTTCCACAAGTGTCAGCCTTAACACTGGGCAACACTGGGCACTGCTAACATTGTCCCAGAATGAATCTTGCCTCGATGGGGTTCTGCCTGCTTTTAAAATGAATACCTTGGGACTGTGGAGAGTCAGCAACTTATGTATTCATATCTATTTTATTTATTTATTAACAATATTTAAACAGTAACTCCCAATAAAGTGATTGAATGATACCTTAGAACAGAGTGAGATCTCTGGTATTTTCTCCCTACTGTTTCTTCCCCTTCTTTACATTTACTCTATAATTCCTACCACCCTCTCCACTCTTTCTTTCCACCCTTTAACACTTTTGCCTCTTTTGTGGCTTCCCTGTTCCTTTTGGTTTAAATAAAAGGATACTTTTTAAAAACCAAATTCAAGGAGGGGAGAGACTTTATGTGATAAGTTAATGTTAGTCACAGAGGAATCACATTAACTGTAGTTAACTGTAGAATATAGGGCAATAAATCTAAAGCCATGAATGTTGTTACTGCAAAGTTGCGACCCCATGGACAATGTTCCATCAGGCTTTTCTGTCCTCTACCATCCCCCAGAGTCCATTTAAGCTCATGCCAACTTCTTCAGTGATTCCATCCAGCCACCTCATTCTCTTTCATCTCCTTCTTCTTTTCCCCTCAATCGTTCCCAGCATTAGGCTCTTCTCCAATGAGTCCTTTCTTCTCATTAGGTGGCCAAAGTATTTGAGTTTCATCTTCAGGATCTGGCCTTCTAAAGAGCAATCAGGGTTGATCTCCTCTAGGACTGACCGGTTTGATCGCCTTGCAGTCCAAGGGACTCACAGGAGTCTTCTTCAGCACCATAGTTCAAAGGCCTTTATTCTTTGGCACTCAGCCTTCCTTATGGTCCAACTTTCACAGCCACACATAGCAACTGGGAAAACCATAGTAGTTGGTATTCCTACACTTGGTAACATCCCTTATTAGCATTCTTGAGGACTGGGAAGATACAGATCTTCCCCTAAGCATTGGGCTAGGATGGAGGTTGCGAGCAATGAGCCTATCAAGTATGGTGCCTGGGGGTTAGGGTATGATTTTAATTACATTTTATGGATTGTTGTGAATTGATATGAGAGATATATTAGCTTTGCAAATAGGTAAGTAAATAAAATAAATGCTTTGGTTTTGCAAAAAAATTATTCTAAGCAGATTGAAACAGTTACAATAGTAAGAAACCTTCACACTTTCTTTTTGAGTAGAAGAAGGTCTGGAGGTTTCTTACTATTGTAACCATTTTCCTTACCTGGCTATTGAACTATATGAATAATTTTCCTCATTTTTTTCGTTCCAAGTCATAATGTGGAGAAAATGATAGGCAGAATCAGTTCTGGTAGATTTTGATAGGATTCCTTTGATTTTGTCATAACAAGCTTTCTATCTCTCTCTGATATATAGGTCTTTGGTTATTCGGGTCTTGGGGCGTAAATTATGTGGGGTCAGAGTTGGCTTCAGTTGGGAACATGCCAACATGAAGCTCCTAATAAATAACTGGATTTCTTTTTTTTTTTATTAAAAAGTTTTAGAAAATTTTACAAATGTTTTCCCATTCCACCTCCCACCTCCCTCCCCAACCCTCCCCCTCCACTTCCCAGAGCAAAATACAGGGTATAGCATTTAACAATCATATGCTAACATATGCTAACTATCTATAGACTCCTATCTCCCTCTTGTACTTTAACTCCCCTTTTACATAACTAAACTTAAATACTTTTCTAAAATCTCTTTGTTCATTCGTAAACTATTTGGAAATTTTTAATCCAATATTTACTTTGAATATAATCAATCCATCTTCTCCATTCCAAAATATATCTTTCATTTGAGTGGTCCTTCAAATATGCTGAGATTTTGGCCATCTCTACTAAATTTGCTACTTTTAGCGTCCATTCTTCAATAGTAGGCAAGTCTTCCTTCTTCCAATACTGCGCCACCAAAAGTCTTGCTGCGGTTATTAAATTAATAATCAGATTAGTCTCTATAACCGTACAATCTGTAATTATACCCAGCAAAAACAGCTGTGGAATAAACTTTATCTTCTTTTTAAGAATATTTTGCATGATCCACCATATTTTTATCCAAAATGCTTTGAATTTTTTGCATGTCCACCATATATGATAATACGTGGCATCATCACTCTCACATCTCCAACACTTAGATTGCAAACTTGGATACATACCAGCTAACTTTTTAGGATCTAGATGCCATCTATAAAACATTTTATAAAAAATTTCTCTCAAGTTTTGGGCTTGCGTAAAGTTTACATTTCTAAGCCATATTTTTTCCCACGTTTCCATCATTATTGGTTCCTCAATATTTTGTGCCCATTTTATCATACAGTCTTTAACTAACTCCATTTCTGAATCTATTTCTATCAATGTATTATACAACCTTTTTATATGCATTTGACTCTGATCTCTGTTTTGTTTTACCAAGTTTTCCTCATTTTGTGTGATTCCAATTTTCTGATCCTCTTTCCATCTAGCTTGTAGCTGTCCATACTGAAACCAAGTTTGAATTATCCTTTCTTCTTTTAGTACATTCAAAGACTTTAACTGTAATGTACCTCTTTCCATATTGAGAAGCTCTTTATATGTAATCACATCTTGTTTTTGTTCTACACTTATATTCTCTATCGCATGTCTGGCTACTGCCCATATAGGTATCTTATCGTTTAGTTTATATTGATACTTTCTCCAGACACACAATAAAGCATTCCTTAATATATGACTTTTAAAAGTCTTGTCCACCTTCTTGTCATATACTAAGTAAGCGTGCCAACCATATATCAAGTCATATCCCTCAATATTCAATATTCTTTCTTCTGTTAAATTGATCCAGTCACTGATTGCTGATAGGGCAGCTGCTTCGTAATATAGTCTTAAATTGGGCATTTTGAGACCTCCTCTTTCACGTATATCTTGCATTATTTTAAATTTTATTCTCGGTCTTTTCCCTGCCCAAACAAAGTTATTAATACCCTTCTGCCATTCCCCCAAATTTGCTTTTTGAGTATTGGTATCATTTGAAAAAGAAATAAAAACTTAGGCAAAACATTCATTTTTACTACTGCTATTCTTCCCAACAAAGACAATTGTAATTTTTTCCAGTTGTCCATCTCTTTCTATATTTTTTGACATAATGGTTCATAATTATACTTATATATTTTCACATTTGAAGTTGTAATATAAACCCCTAAGTATTTAACCTTTTTTACTATTTCAAATCCTGTTACTCTTTCTAGTTCTTCTTTTTGATTTATAGTCATGATTTAGTTATTATCTTTGTTTTCCATGTATTTATTTTGAATCCAGATACTTGTTCATATTGATTAATTATATCCATTAAACCTATAGCTGATTCACTGGTTGGGTTAAAGTTACAACCAAGTCATCTGCAAATGCTCGTAATCTGTAATCATAATGCCTGATTTTAATTCCCTTTATTTTATCTGACTCACATATTTTATGCAACAAAAATTCCAAAGTCAAAACAAACAGTAATGGGGACAGGGGACACCCCTGTCTTGTTCCTCTTTCAATTTTAAAAAATTCTGTTAAGCTACCATTAATTATTATTTGTGCTGTTTGTTTCTGGTATATTGCCTTAATAGATTGTGTGAAATACTTTCCAAACTGCAGCTTTTGTATTATTTTCAGTAAAAAATGCCAATTCAATCAATCAAATGTTTTCTCCACATCCAAAAATATAAGTACTGGAGGGACTTGATTATTCTTCCCCAAATACTCCTATATATTTACAATTTGCCTTACATTGCTTTTCTTTTGTCTCCAATTTATAAATCCAGATTGATCATTGTGAATCATTTGTTGCATAATTGACATTAACCTATTTGATAATATTTTAGTAAAAATCTTGTAGTCTGTGTTAAGTAGCGATATAGGCCTGTAGTTTTTTGGCTGACTATGATCTTAGTCCTCCTTCGGGATCAAAGAAATAAAGGCTGTTCTCCAAGATGAGGGTACATCTCCTCCGAATTGTATTTTACTAAATAATTCCTTAAGTGGTACCACCATTTCTAACTGCAAATTTTTATAATAAACGGCTGTCAATCCATCTGTTCTGGGAGCCTTACCAACTTTTAACTGCTTAATTGCCGAGAAAATTTCCTCAGAAGTTATTGGTTGATTCAATCTTTCCCTTTGCTCATCTGTAACTATAGGGATATTCTCCTTCTGTAGGTATCTATCTATATCTATACCTTGAATTTTATCACTAGCGTACAGCCTCATATAAAATTCTAGAAATGCTTTTTTAATCATATTTTATTGATACACCTCTTTACCTTTATATTCTATTTTTTCTATAGTACAAAACTTTTGTTTTTTCCTTAACAAATATGCTAACCATCTACCTGGTTTGTTCACATTGCAAAAGGTATTATGTTTAGCATATTGCAAATTAGTTGCAACCTGATCTGCCATCAACATATTAAACTGCCCTTGCAAATAAAATAATTGCTTCTTTTATTTTCTTATCTCCTGGATTCAATATTAATGTCTGCTCTTTCTTTTTTATTTCCTCTTCTAATTCCATCCATTTTTTCCCTGTCTGTGTCTATATGTATTGTTCAAATATATTAAAACACCTCTCATGTATGCTTTGCTTGCCTCCCAAACCATTTCCATGGGTGTGCCCTTATGCATATTCATAACAAAAAATTCTTTTATTAGTTTTTTACATTCTTTCACATTTTCCTCATATCTAAATAAATTTTCATTTAACCGCCAAGACCTCCTGAGACCCTTTCCATATTCCAATTCCATCCAAACCGGGCTATGATCTGTTAAAATTCTTGGGCATATCTTCATCTTCTTCACCCTAGAAAGAAAATCGTTGGTAATTAATATGAAATCAATTCTAGAAAAGGATTGGTGCCTGTCAGAGAAAAATGTAAAATCTTGTTCTTCAATGTTCCGTTCTCGCCAAATATCTCTCAGTTCCATATCATCCATCATATCAAAAAAGGATTTAGGCAGTCTAGCACGCGTTTGGATGTTTTGTAAGAGCCCTTTTTTGTCTTTTTGGGTATCCAATACTCCATTCCAGTCACCCAATAATATACACAATTTATAATCCCATTGTATTAATTTGGTATGCAAAAGCTTATAATTTTTTTCTTGTTGTTGATTAGGTGCATATACTCCAATTAAAAGTATTTTCTTCCCTTCTATTAGAAGTTCAATTGCTATATATCTTCCTTGAGCATCTACTTCAATTAATTTAGCCATTAAGTCTTTCTTTAAGTATATAAGTATACCATTTTTCTTCTCTGGAGCAGATGCAACAAAGCGTGTTCCCAATCTTGCATTTATCAAATATTTTTGGTCTCTTGTTCTGATATGTGTTTCTTGCAAACAAATTACATCATTTTTAAACTGTTTCAGATAATGAAATATTTTCTTCCTCTTTTGTGGTGAGTTTAAGCCATTAACATTCCAAGTTAAGAATCTAATTGCCATTCTTGGCCCCCTGAAGCTTTTGGAGCGCCAGCTGAAAATCCTCCTAAATTTTCTTCTTCAGCCTTGCTCCTTCCACTGCTTCTGTATTTGTAGTTTCTTGAATTATTATCTGGGTTTTCTGTGTCTTTAATTCTTGTTCTTTATGTTTGGCTGCCACTCGAGTTTGTCTTTGATCCTTTGGTTCCTCTATTTTTCCAATTCCAAAGCTTGAACAGTACCCGAAAGTTGAAGTAAGTCTTCTTGAGTAATCGAGGCCCCTCCTTGAGCTTGTGCCTGCATACCTTTCTTCTCCCCCTTTCTTGCCTCCTCTGCTTCTTTTCTTCTTCTAGCTTCTGGGGATGGTGGGCATCCAGCCTTTAGTACATTGATGTAAAAATCTCTTGCCTTCCAAACTGTATTGAGACGATATCTTTCTCCTGAGTGGTTCACCACTAATCCAGCTGGAACCTCCCATCTGTACTGCATCTGGCAATTTCTGAGTTCTTCAACTAGAAATGCATAATCCTTTCTAGTTCTCAACATTTTGGGGGGAATTTCTTTCAGTGCTCTGTCCTGCCACTTGGAGTTTATTTTTATAAGAAGCTTGTAAAATTTCATTTCGTCTCCTCCTTGTAGTAAAGTAGATTACAATATCTCTTGGTAATTGTCTCTGTCTGGCAACCCATGAGTTAACACGATAAATTTTATCTATTTGCCATTCAAACTCTGCCTTTGAATCTCCAGTTAGCTGTGCAAAAGCTTCTGCAAAAATCTCTCTCAAGTTCTCTTGATTGTTTTCTCTCTGACCTCTTACTCTCAGGGCAAACTCCATCGCTCTATATAGCAGGGAAAGGATATGGCAAAATCTCCATTCCCACCCCACTACAGGGGAAGGATACTGCATAATCTCCATTTCCACCCCACTCCAGGGGAAGGATATTGCAAAATCCCCATTCCCAACCCACTCTGAGGCCAACCAAAAGTGATATTTGCCAGTTCTCTGAACTACTCAAAATTTCCACTACCAGTTCTCTGGAATCTGTCAGAACCTGCTTAATTTTACCCCTGGACAATAGGCACATTAGTGCACTTATGCACGCTCCCTCTACTGACCACTTAAGTATGAAGTAAGGTCCACGGAAGTCAATTTGTGACTGAAATTGTGAAAATTTGTAACTGAGACAACTGAATCAGGTGGAGCATTTCGGACTTTGACAACTCTATTACAGAAATCATATTTTTACAGTCAAGTTTAGAATGATTTACATGGAGTTTAAAGCGGTTGTTCGCACACATATGATTGCGATTAAAACAGAAAAAGTCATTTACAGGTAAAACATTATTACGTATAATTTTGTATTCAATACCTAGGCCTGACCGCAAGCGACACAGTTCTAAGTTATCCAAACCAAGAATTTAGAGCCTAGTAGCATAGGGAATCCTATTGTGTACAGAAGAGTCCAAGACTTTTCTCGTGAAGTAATTCTGAACCTGCTCAATTGAACTGATGTCAGATATATGGTGGGGATTCCAAACAGTTGAACAATACTCTATGACTGGTCTGGCATAAGTTTTATTAACTCTAATTAGCAATAAAATGTTTCCAGGAAAAAAACTTCGTAAAATTAAGTTTGCAATTCTTAATGCTTTTTTAGCAATGCTGTTACAGTGAGCTTTGGAGCATAAATCCTCAGAGATAAGTACACCTAGGTCCTTAACAAGGTGAAGGTCATCTGCTAGATCAATGCCACCTAGTTTATACTTGACATTCTGATTACGTTTACCAATATGTAAGACAGAGCATTTATGAATCGAAATCTGAAGTTGCCAAATAGATGACCATTCAGACAAATAGTCGAGATCACTTTGCAAAACAACAGATCTGTAGAATTGAATAATTTTACATCATCGGCAAAAAGAATACAATTGCTTTTAAGTTGATCACATGAATCGTTGATGTAGAGCAAAAAAATATGATGAAATTTCTTATGTTGCAGTGAGAACAACTTCTACCACATTCTGCCCTTCTTGTTGGCTGTTCGTGAAGTCAACCAGAATTCAAGGCTCTTACCCAACATCACCCTGGGCTACAACATGTATGAGAACTTTTTCAGTGCAAGAATGACATATGAGGCCATGCTGGATGTGCTGTCTACAGGACAGGAGAACATCCCAAACTACAGATGTGGAAGACCAAAGAACCTGCTGGCAATTCTTGAAGAGATGGATTCTGAACTCTTTGTTCATATTTCCAATGTCTTGAGCATCTATAAAATTCCACAGGTATAAAGCCAAATGAAATTAATTCCATGTTGTAAAATGTTCAGATTTGCCTAGAAGGCAGCACTTGTATATATTTCTCCAAATAAATTGAAAGTCAGAGAGTAAATATTAGAAGATCTGAAAGAATTGTTAATTCACAAAGTATATCTGTATACATAAAGTGATGGGCTGCTGCTGGTTTGGATCAGTTCTAGCGGACCGGTAGTTCCGGCAATCAGTTGGCCCGCCCACCTGGCCCAACCCTATCCTGTCCTATATTCAGCTCAGCTGATTTTCACAGCACAATGGATTTCCGGCCCTCAGCTGTTTTACTTACCGGGGCTGCCCTAGAAGGTAAGCTATAGAGCTTGAGATTGGTGTATTTTGAACACTGTGCACATACACAAAGGACGCGCCCACAAAACTGGTTGTATATATACATATCTTGGCTTCAGGCCATGTGGCCAGCAGGCCTCTGGTAGTAGAATAGGCCTGGGTATGACTATTGGGAATTTCGAAAATTATGACTTTTGAAAATTTATGAGGGTTGAATCAGTGACTTTTAAACATTTTGAAAATTTAGTGACCAATATAAAAGAGATTTTTTTTCTTCTTCACAAAATCATAGAATAAAAAGTCCAACTCCTTACACAGAGGTGGAATCATCAGACCACTACAGACAAATTGCTGTCCAAATTTTCCTTTAAAATAACCAGCAATTGAGCTCCAGGAGGCAGGCCGTTCCAACTCTTTTTTTAAATTTTTTTTATTGAATTAAAGACATACGCACACAGAACAGAAAAAAACAAGAACACAAACAAGTACAAAATGAAACAATACACAACATATACAACATATTATTTAAACATAATATCTTATACATCGGTAAATTGTATTTCTCAATATATATTCCCATATCTTACCTTATATAACGATATTTTTTGAAGTTTTGTTTTAATTCTATTGAATTTCTTTGGTACACGATTTGATTCAAATCTTTTAGGATCATCTTTTTATTTGGTTTTCCTTTTCTCTAGCCATTGATACCACTTTTGCCAAACCAGATAGTATTCAGATTCTTCCTTTTCTTGGATTTCTTTAGTGAGTTTGTCCATCTCGGCACATTCCATTACTTTTGATATTATTTTATCTTGTGTTGGGATTTCTTCCAATTTCCAATTTTGTGCAAAGATGATTCTTGCTGCGGTCAGCATATGTGTAATCAAATATATTGTTTCTTTTTCGTAGCTATTTGTGAGTATACCCAATAAATATGTTTCTGGTTTTAATGGTATTTTTTGTGCCATTATTTCTTCCAGTTGGATTTTAATTTTATTCCAAAATTGTTTTGCTTTTGGGCATAACCACCACATGAGGTAGTATGTCCCTTTTTGTATTTTGCATTTCCAGCAAAGTGGGGAAGTGTTGGGAAACATTTTTGAAATCCATGGTGGAGTAAGATGCCATCTGTAAAACATCTTATAAGCATTTTCTTTATATGATACTGATAATGTCAATTTACTGTTAATTTTCCATAGTTTTTCCCATTTGCTTAGTTTGATGCTATATCCAAAGTTCTTCACCCATGTGATCATATTCTCTTTTAGTATTTCCTCTTCTAATTTATATGCAAGTAAAAAATTATAAATTTTGGTTATTAATTTCTCATTTAAGCCCATTAGTATTTTGTCCCGTTCATTTGGTTCTTTTTGGATTCCATACTTCTCCACGTCCGTTTTGTATCTGGATTTTAATTGTAAGTATGGCCACCAGTCAATTTTGACACCTTGTTCTTTTAATTCTTCTCTTGTTTTTAATTTTCCTTCATCATTTAGGAGTTCTTGATATGTTTTCATTTTATTTATATCCATTGTATTTGGGTATATTTGTGCTTCCATTGTTGAAATCCACCACGGGATTCTCTAGTAGTGGTTCTTCCTAATTTCAGTCCAAATCTTTAGCAATGTGTCTCTTACAATATGTTTTCGGAATTGTTCATGTTTTTTAGGTTTCTCTTCCCAAAGATATGCATGCCATCCTTTCTCCAGATCAACGCCTTCTAATGTTAATATGCGTTTGTTTTTAAATTCAATCCACTCTTTAATCCATGTTAGTGTTGATGCTTTGTGGTAAATTTGCCAATCTGGAAGCCCCATTCCTCCACTTTCTCGTTTGTCCTGTAGGTGTTTTAGTCTGATTCTTGCCTTTTTGCCCTGCCAGATATACTTTAATATCATCTTATCAAAATCTTTGAAGTAAGTTTTTCCTGGGTGTATTGGTATCACCTGAAATAAATACAACATCCTTGGCAGAATATTCATTTTAATGGAGGCTATTTTACCTAGAAATGATAGCTGTAATTTAGTCCAAAATTTTAAATCTTTTTTCTATTTGTTTAGCCAATTTATTATAGTTGTCTTTTTTGAGTGTTGATATTCTATTGGTAAGCCAGATCCCTAGGTATTTCACTTTCTTTATTATTTGTATTCCTAGTATATTTTCCGATTCTTTTTGGTGAGGTTCTTAGTTAACATTTTTGTTTTTTGTTTATTGATTTTCAGGCCCGCTACTTCCCCATATTGTTCTATTTTTGTCAATAATTTGGGTCCTGATTGTAATGATTGTTCTAGGATGAGTACTATATCATCCGCAAATGCTTGCAGTTTGTATTCCTGATTCTTTATCCTTAATCCCGTTATTTATTTATTTATTTATTTATTTATTTATTTATTTATTTTTTAAATTTTTATACCACCCCCTCTCCCAAAGGACTTGGGGCGGTGAACAGCCAGAATTTAAAAACATAGAATATAAACATTAAAATACTATAAAAATGAAATTTTGTCTTTATCTTCTCTAATTTCTTACAATAGTATTTCCAATGTTAATATGAACAATAGGGGGGATAGGGGGCATCCTTGTCTCACTCCTTTCTTTATATCAGATTGTTCCGTTGTCTCTCCATTAATCAATATTTTTGCTGTTTGGGTGTTATATATCCTTTTGATCATATTTAAGAATTTTCCTCCAAATTTCATCATTTCCAATTGTGTTATTAAGAATGTCCAATTAAGATGATCAAACGCTTTTTGTGCATCCAGGAAAATTAATGCTACTTGTTTATCTGGTCGTTGTTCATAGTATTCGAGGGTATCGATAATTGTCCTTGTATTATTTTTGATTTGTCGTTTGGGAATAAAGTCGTTTTGGTCTCGATGTATATAGTGATTAATTAAATTTTTCAATCTCTGTGTTATAATAGATGTAAATAGTTTGTAATCTACATTAAGAAGAGATATTGGTCTATAATTCTTAATTTCAGCAGGATCCGAATCTTGCTTTGGTATTAACGTAATTATTGTTTCATTCCATGATTGTGGAATTTCAGCTTCTAGAAGTGCGTTGTTGAATACCTGTATTAGAATGTCATCTAGTAATTGCTGGAATGTCTTATAAAATTCGGAAGGTATGCCGACTGGTCCCGATGTTTTGTTGTTTTTTTGTTTCTTCCTTGCTTCTGTTAGTTCTAACATGGAAATCGGTCTATTCAATGATTCGGTATGGTTTTCTTTTAATTCCTGCATATTTATTTTGCTTAAATATTCTATAATGTCTTCCCCTTGGATTTCTTCTTTTGCATATAGGTTTTGATAGAAGTCCCTTGCGATTCGTTTTTTTATCCTCATTATTATGGTATGGTCTTCATCTTTTAATTGCTGTATCATTTTCTTCTCTTTTTCTTTTTTCAGTTTGTAGGCAAGCCACTAGCCAGTTTTATTTGCGTGTTTGAATTGATTTTGTTTGGCCATTTTAATTTTCCTTGCTATCTCTGTTGTTGTAATTAGATTTATTTTATGTCTTATTAAGTTAATTCTCTCTTTAATTTCTTTGTTGTGTGGCTCTTCCTGTAATTCTAATTCAAATTGTTGCAGTTGCGTCAATAAATTCTCTTTTATTTGTTGTTTGTCTTTTTGCTATGTAGGCAATTGTTAGGCCTCTTATATAAACTTTGGTTGTATCCCATAGATTTTGAAGACTAGTGTGTTCTTTTACATTAATTTGGAAAAATATTTTTAGTTCTTTTTGAATCATTTCCACATACTGTTTGTCTTTTATGATGTCTTTGTCCATCATCCATCTTCTCGTGTTTGGTGATCCTTCCATGTTATTACAATCGGACTATGATCTGCCCATGTATTTGTTGCAATTTCTATTTGTTTGATATCTAATCTGAGCTTTGCTGTCATCCAGGCCATGTCGATTCTGGACCATGATTGATGCAGATTCGAATAAAATGTAAATTGTTTTTTATTTTGGTTGATTTCCCTCCAAGTGTCTTGTAATTGGAGTTCTTGTACCATATCCTGAAATGTGTCCAGTAGTGTTTTTTCCTGGATTTATTTTTTTTTTACTACTTTGGTAATCCTTCTCTATATCTACAATTGCATTGTAGTCTCTGATGAGACTGTTCCAACTCTTAATAACTCTCACAGTGAGGAATTCCTCATTTTTTTATAATCTTGAGACTGAAATAAAAAACTCAAAAGAAAGATATGAAGAAAACAATGAATAGGTCAAGATAGCTAGAAGGCACCTCCAGAAAGCTTTCTCTAGTGTACATAAAAAGAATACTGCACATAAAAAAGGCTGAGAGCCAAAGAATTGAGGCCTTTGAACTCTGGTGCTAGAGAAGACTCCTGTGAGTCCCTTGGACTGCAAGGCAATCAAGCCGGTCAGTCCTAGAGGAGATCAACCCTGACTGCTCTTTAGAAGGCCAGATCCTGAAGATGAAACTCAAATACTTTGGGGACCTAATGTGAAGGAAGGACTCACTGGAGAAGAGCCTAATGCTGGGAAAGATTGAGGGCAAAAGAAGAAGGGGACGACAGAGAATGAGGTGGCTGGAAGGAGTGACTGAAGCAGTCGGCATGAGCTTAAATGGACTCCAGAGGATGGTAGAGGACAGAAGGGTATGGAAGAAAGTTGTCCATGGGGTCTCGATGTGTTGGACACAACTTCGTAAGTAACAACAACAATTAGTATACAACACAGAAGAAAGTATGTCATAATATTCTTTCCAAGTTTGAACTGGAACTTGGCACAATGCCAGTTCTCTTGGTTTTTTTTTAAAAGTGAGGTTATTAAACCGACTTCTGCATTTCAAATGTCTGAAAGTAATTCAGCCAATTAAAGAGTTTATATAGAGTTATTTGAAATCAATTATATGAATGAAGACAATGAAATAATACACCAATATTAAACAATTGCTGGGGGGGTGGATATAACAAACAATATTTCTAGCCCAACATATAAAACAATCAAGGAAGCAGTAATAATCTATGAGAAATTAAGAAGAGGTCAATTTATTTTCCAAAGAACCAGAAGGCAAGACAAGAAGCAATGGATGGAAGCTAATCAAGGAGGGAAACAACCTGGAATTAAGGCTTTGAGGACAATTAACCATTGGAACAGCTTGCCTTCAGAAGTTGTGGGTGCTTCATCACTGGGGTATTTTAAGAAGAGACTGGACAGTCACTTGTGTGAAATGGTGTTTGGTCTCCTGCTTGAGCAGGGGGTTGGACTGGGACAGGGGTGTCACTCGATTTCATTGAGGGACGTATCAGGGTTGTGTTTGACCATGGGGGTAGGCATGGCCAAGGTGAGCGTGGCCAGCATGGCATCACTTGTGTCAGGGGCACCTGTGGTGGCCCAAATGCTCTGCCAGTGAAAACAGGCTTCTGAGCTCCATTTTTGGCTGGGACGGCCTCCTATAACCCTCTGCTAGTGAAAAAGGAGCTCAGGGGCCCATGCATGGCACTTGCAAGCTCTACTTTTGGCTAGGACAGCCTCCTGCAACCCTCTGTCTGCCAAAACAGAGCTTGGGAGGGCCATGTGTGGCCCTCTCTAGCTCCAACTTCACTGGCAGAGGCACTGTGGGCCTATCCTTTGCTATTTCCAGGGTGGTCCTGTGAGCCAGATCTTAGCACCCTGCAAGCCAGATCCAGTCCTCAGGCCTTGAGTTTGATACCCCTGGACTAGCAGGTGGTTAGACTAGAAGGTTAGACCAGCTCTATTCTGATTGACTAATTGACTGAGTGGATGGGGGACCCACAGAGTTATATTGTGACCAGAAGGGTGTGCTCTGTGAGGACCACCAATGAACATCACCCACAGATAATTCAGAGCTCGCTGGTTTCAAAGGGAGCATACAAGACAACAGGACAGAACATCAAGGGAACTAGCAAAATTCATGCAGTTATTTTTTGAAGTGTCTCTCAGCAGTGCGGAAAGGCCCTTAGATTTAACATCTGACTTTTATCATTAAAACTGGCAAAAACTACCAATACCTTCTCTTTTATCTTAGATCAACTATAGTGTCATCAACCAGATGGCTGAGCAAAATTATCATTTTCCTTTTTCATATCGGATGACCCCAAACCAAGAACCTCCTTACTCAGCAATCATCAAGCTGCTCCTGCATTTCCAATGGACGTGGATCGGCCTCCTTTCTCAGGACAATGAAAAAGGAGAAAAATTCAAAAGACGCTTGGAAGTTCTTGCTCTAAAAAATGGGATTTGCATTGTCCTCTCAGGAACCATCCCAGAAGCAAATGTGCAGATAAGTGCTGCAATGTTACTTTCTCTTATCAAGAGTCAAATAAAAATTATAGTATGCCAAATGGATTTTCAGGCCTCAGGAATGTTAGCAATAATAATACAAACAATTGATAAGACTAATACAGCCATTGTGGGAAGGGTGTGGATTGCAACAACTTTGACAGCTTCAAGTGTAGGTATTTTTGACCTTTGGGTTGATCTCCAAAATAAATATGCTTTGTTTTCCTTCCTCATCCAGACAAAGAGAAGGACTCAGTATGATGACATTAAATCTTATGCATCTACGGTCATATTGTATGGAAAGGAAGCATTCCAATGTTCTTATTCAAGTCCTGTGTTATCTAAGAAAGTTTGGAAAAAATGCAGAGAAAAAGAGAATTGGGAATTCCCACCCCCTGATGTGATTGCAAGAATCCTGTCTCAGGATTCCTCCAGTATTTCCCAAATAATTCAAATTGTGGCCTGGGTCCTCAGTGCTGCCTCCTCCTCCCAACGGAGTAAGAGGAGAATGCAAGTTGGAGACCATCAACCACACCAGATTGTACAGGCATGGCAGGTAAGTCTCCTCCTTTGAGGTTCCATTGATTCTCCCCTTCCAATTCCTCAATATTAAATTAGAGGTAGAAAGGTGTCAGATATTCCAAGGTTTGTGGTATTTGACAGTGAGTGTCCACCCTGAAGCTGTCCTGACTGAGGCCATCTTGGAGAATTAAAGGATAATAAAGGAGAATTAAAAACAGTACAAGATCTGAAAAAAACAAGGAATAAATTTGGAATGGTGGCCATATTTACAAATCGAAACTAGATTTAAAAAAGATAAGGAACAATTTGGCATAAACAGGAAACAATTGGAATTAGATATATTAATATTAGGATCGGGAAGAAAAATGATTACAAATATTTATAATTACCTTTTAGGATACAATTTGGAAGAAGAAACAGTAAAAGAAACGATGATAAGTTGGGCTAGGAATTTGGAACATACCATAGAATTGGATAAATGGGAAAAATTGTGGGAAAAAATTATAAATTGACCATGGCAGCATCATACAAAGAAAACAGCTATAAATGTTTTATAGGTGGCATTTAGCACCAGAGAGATTGGCAAAAATGTCACCTATCACCTCAATGTTGGAGATGTGGTCACAAACTAGGGACAAATCAGAGATGTTCCTCCTAGAAATGATTGATAGAAAAATCAGAAAAAGTCTCTATTATATTTTATTGCATATTCTAATGGTGGCCAGAATTACTCTAGCGCAAATGTGGAAGTCGACCAATACACCATCGGAAGAAACAATAATTTAAAAAATCCTTGAATACGCCGAAATGGATAAATTAATGATGGAGATCAAAGAAAGAGAAGATTATTACAAAGTGTGGAATAGGTTCTATACATGGTTAGAAAACAAAAATCAAATTAAGAAACAAGAATATAAAGTGAAATTTGATATTAACATACTGGACATAAATGTAAATAATAATCCTGCTAACAAAACAGTTAATTATGAATATTTAAAAATAAAGAGAAGGAGCAGGAAGATAAAACTTAAGAGTAAAGACAAAAGTCAATGCAGAAAGTTGTAAAATTGTATATATCTGTTGCTCGTATTGTATTTTAACCAGTGGTGATATCCAATTTTTTTTACTGCCAGTTCTGTGGGTGTGGCTTGGTGGGCGTATTGTTGCTTGGTGGGAGTGGCTTAGTTGGCGTGGCAGGGGAAGGATACTGCAAAATCTCCATTCCCTCCCCACTCCTGGGAGAAGGGTATTGCAAAATCTCCATTCCCACCCCACCCTTGGCCAGCCAGAGGCAGTATTTGCCGGTTCTCCAAACTACTCAAAATGTCCACTACCAGTTCTCCAGAATCTGACAGAACCTGCTGGATTTCACCCCTGATTTTAACGTTTGATGTAAGCGTATGTGTTTTTGTTTTTGTTTTCCTCTTGATTTCTTTTGCTATTGTGTGTTTGGTTTTAAAAATGTAAAATATTCAATAAAAATTATATTTTTTTTTAAAAAAAGAGAGAGATAGCTGGGGTTTTGTAGCCAAAACAAAATATTTTCTCCTGGGAACCAAGGACATTCCCACCAATGGCCAGAGGGAGGATGAGTGAAGCCACCAGGCAACCGGATAACACCTTGATTGGACCATGTGACTGATTGTTTGGAAAGGGAAGGAAAACTTCTACTTTTAATTAGGTGAAAACTGTAGGAACATTTAGAGTCAGTTTTCACCAGCCTATGCCTATATGGTATGTCCAATACAACTGATATTTGAGGAACCTGCTTGCCTCAGAGTCCTGTTTGCTATGGGCTGATGGCAAAATTGTATTCTCCATCTTTTCCCATTACAAGTTTTCCCATATCTGCAAATGGTCTCACCTCAGATGGGCTGTGAAGGTGAAGCAAGAAACCATAGAACATCAAACATAGAATAATAAGAGTTTGAAGGGAACTCGGAGGTTTCTCTAGTCCAACTCATTAATCAAGCAGGGGACCTTGGACCATTTCAGACAAAGATGCAGCAGCTGTAGGCTTGTTGTAGCGAAAGTTACCGGAGCCACTCCCCTTCTTAAATGTGTCGCTGCCATCACCGCCCTGTTCCATGCACATGCGCACACCGTTGCCTTCTCCCGCTGATAAATGATGAATGAATAAATAAACAGTGTGTGCATGTGCGCCCAGCACATGGAATAGGGTGGCAATGGCAGCAGCACATTTAAGAAGGGGAGTAGCTCCGGTAACTTTCGCTAGAGAAAGGAATGTAAGATAATCAATGACTTTGAAGAGGGGATAGATGGGGAACTCATCAAATTTGCAGATGACCCCAAGATGGCAGGAATAGCCAATACTCCGGAAGATAGGCTTAAGATACAGAAGGATCCTGACAGACTTGAACATTGGGCGCTATCTAATAAAATCAAATTCAATGGAGAAAAAAGTAAGGTTCTACATTTAGGCAAGAAAAACAAAGTGCACGGGTACAGTATATGTGGTAGTAGTAACTAGTAGTAGTAGTAGTAGTAGTAGTAGTAATAGTAGTAACTATGAGCGGGATCTTGGGGTCCTAGTGGACAACCATTTAAATATGAGCCAGCAGTGTGAAGCAGCTGCCAAAAAAGCCAACACAGTTGTGGGCTGCATAAACAGAGGGATAAAATCGAGATCACAGGAAGTGTTAATACCACTTCATAATTCCTTGGTAAGGCCATTCCTGGAATACTGCATCCAGTTTTGGTTACCATGATGTAAAAAAGACGTGGAGACTCTAGAATGAGTGCAGAGAAGACCAACAAAGATGATTAGGGGACTGGAGGCTAAAACATATGAAGAACGGTTGCAGGAACTGGGTATGTCTAGTTTAATGAAAACAAGGACTGGGGGAGAGATGATAGCATTGTTCCAATATCTCAGGGGCCGCCACAAAGAAGAGGGAGTCAAGCTATTCTCCAAAACATCTGAGGGCAGGACAAGAAGAAATGGGTGGAAACTAATCAAGGAGAGATGCAACCTAGAACAAAGGAGAAATTTCCTGACAGAATAATTAATCAATGGAACAACCTGCCTCCACAAGTTGTGAGTGCTCCAACACTGGACGTTTTTAAGAAGATGTTGTAATGCCATTTCTCTGAAGTGGTGTAGGATTTCCTGTCTAAGCAGGTGGTTGGACTAGAAGACCTCCAAAGTCCATTTCAACTGTTATTCTGTTCTACTCTACTCTACTCTACTCTATTCTATTCTACTCTACTCTACTCTACTCTACTCTACTCTACTCTACTCTACTCTACTCTACTCTACTCTTTCCATTCTATTCTATAAATATTTGAAAAAGAGCTGTAAATTCCTGGAGAATGACTGAAAGAAGCTTCTCATGAAATGCTGAATCAATCTGTTTCAGAATGTAGTGGCGATTTGAAGAGGTTGAATTATTCAGAGTACCTCCAATCCGGAATAACATTGAATAAAGGCTCAAATTGGAATGTTTTCTTTTTATGTTTCTGCAGCTTCATAGGTTCCTGAGAAACTTCCAACATCACAATATTTCCAATGATGGGATTTCTTTTGATGAAAATGGAGTTCCTGTTAGTGACTTTGATATCATGCAGTGGACATCAGTTTTTAACAAATCACATGCGGGGATGAAAATTGGGAATGTAGAAAGACAAGCCTCCTCGGAAGTCAAGATTTCTGTCAATCAAAGTGCCATCCAATGGCCAACTTCATTTAACAAAGTAGTTGAGGCTGCTTGGATTTTGCTCTTCTATTTATCTCCATCTGTTCAGAAATAATTCTTATTGAGGCCAATTGAGATAACTTCCGAATAAGAGAACTTAAAGTCTCATTAATTCATTAGATATCATTTTACTTTAGAGGTTTTATAATAATCTATCACACACTGGAATCTACTGCATTGTACTGCGGGATTTGCAATCTACATTATTAAACTGGGATATGTTGCCATAATTTATAGTACATCATATTATCTTGTTTTCAGAAAGAGAAAATCCAGAATGTCTAAGGAGATTCTCCATCATCCAGGTCACGACTGTGCCAAAGGTGTTTTTTCAAAAGGCACTTGGACTTTGTTTTCCCTTGAAGTTGTTTCACTTCTCATCCAAGAAGCTTCTTCAGTTCTGACTGAAGGGTGGAAGATGGAAAGATTTGGAACTGCTGAAAAGACTGTGTTGTAAACAGGATATAGATTCAACAATTGCAGGAAGATTCCACACCTATTTTCACGATTCACGTGACCCTGAGGTCACAGATAAATTCCAAGTGCCTCAACAACTTTCAGAAAGACTGCTAACAACCAGATGACTGTAAGGAATATAAATCCTTCAATACTTCACCATTCAGTCAAAACTGAAGAAGCTTCTCGAATGAGAAGAGAAACATCTTCAAGGGAAAACAAAGATCAGTTGTCTTTTGAAAAAGCACCTTTTGGAGAAAAATTCAGAATATGAAAGTTAAGCCCACTGAATTGCATAAGAGAAAGATATCACTAAGAATGTGGTGAGGGAAATGAGGGCAGCTAAAAAAGTCATTTATGATGATACAATTATCAGAAGTAGGAGAGAAAGATATGGACACTAGAGAAAGCTAGATGTTGGAGGTTTCCTGAGAAAGCAAAGATGGAGAAAAAAATATATACCATATTTTTCGGAGTATAAGATGCTCTGGAGTATAAGGCACACCTTAGTTTTGTTGGGGGAAAATAAGAAAAAAAATATCTGTCTCTGCTTACCAGCATCTATCAATATTCATCTAGCTAGCGTCCTATCAGTGTGTGAGAGAGTTGAGGGCTGTTTGGAAACTGAAACAGTATTTGCTGTGTGAGCAACAAGGAAGGAGCCTGGGCATAGCTTAGGTCAATTATTCTAAAGCTGCATGCTGTGCTGATCTCTGAAACTGAAACTCCTCTCCTCTGCTTGTGTTTTCCTTTCTGCTCCGTGCCTCAAGTTTTTGGCTACATTTGGTGTATAAGACACATTCAAATTTTCACCCTCTTTTGGGGGGGGAGTGCGTCTTATACTCCGAAAAATATGGTAAGTTATAGCATTGTCATACATGGCCTAAGGAGAAACACCTTTTGCAATGGAACTACTTTCCTTTGGAAAAAGTAATAAGGCAATGAGTCTGTTTTGGGATCTACAATGGAGACTAATAGAGAAAGATAATGACCTTTCATTTGTCCCTTGCACGTAGAGTAATTAAAGTTTATGCCACTACTTCTTGACCGATTTTGCTCAATGTGCTCTTGAGCTTCCGGAAACCACTGAATTTCACTCAATCTTTCTAATTCATATATTACCCTGAGTAATCTTTCTGTTTATGTTTAGATGGTGCCTTATTCAAGATGTACAGAAAGTTGCTCCCCAGGTTATGCCAAGCTTGTGAGAGAGGAAGCACCAGTTTGCTGCTATGACTGTTCTCTGTGTATAGAAGGAACATTCTCTGAGCAAGAAGGTACAGTACGTGGCTCCAAAAATAACCAACCAAACAAACAAACAAACAAACAAAACAAAACCAAGATACAATCAATATTCTATCTTGTTTTTTAGGGGGTGTTTGATAAAGGAGCAAGAAAAACATTAAATTTCTAGAAAGCATCCACAAACTTCAAAGGTTGGACACTATTGCCAAATTTGGTTGATGATGTGAGCATTAAAATAAATAATGAAAGGTTGCTGATTTCTATTGAGTTGTTACTTTTTTGCTTTGTTTTAGGAAAGAAGTTTTGAGACATTATATTATTCCTTTAAAATGAAGTAATTGATTTCCTATACAGTTTTCATGCTCCTACAGCTGCAGAAACAGATTCATGATAACCATTTTTTTTTCTCAGATGCAGCCCATTGTGAAAAGTGTCCAGATGACCAGTATTCCAATAAGAAGCGAGATCAGTGTGTCCCCAAAAATATAAGCTTCTTATCCTATCAAGAATTGTTGGGACTCATCCTGGCTTTCTTTGCCATCACTTTGTCCCTAACCACCGCCTTTATTCTGGGAATCTTCATGAAATACCGAGACACTCCCATAGTCAAAGCCAACAACTGTGAACTCACCTACATCCTCCTGGTTTCGCTCCTGCTTTCTTTCTTGACCTCCCTTCTATTCATCGGTCGCCCCGTGAAAATGACCTGTCTCCTTCGACAAACCATTTTCAGTGTTGTTTTCTCAGTTGCTGTGTCTTCCTTGCTGGCCAAGACTGTCATGGTGGTGGTGGCCTTTCTGGCCACAAAGCCAGGCAGCAGCATGAGGAAATGGCTGGGGAAGAGTCTGGCCAACTCTATTGTTTTATCCTGCTCTGGTATTCAAGTAGGCCTCTGTATGATGTGGCTGGGAGTCTTTCCCCCATTCCCAGATTCTGACTTTCATTCCCAACCAGAACACATCCTGCTGCAGTGCAATGAAGGCTCTGTCACCATGTTCTACTCTGCTCTTGGCTACATGGGTTTTTTGGCTGCCATCTGTTTCTTGGTGGCATTTCTGGCTCGAAATCTGCCAGGGGCCTTTAATGAAGCCAAACTGATCACCTTCAGCATGTTGGTTTTTTGTAGCGTTTGGATCTCCTTTGTTCCCACTTATCTGAGCACCAAGGGGAAATACATGGTCGCCGTGCAGATCTTCTCCATCCTGGCCTCTGGCCTGGGTTTACTGGGCTGCATCTTTATCCCCAAATGCTACATTATTATCATCAGACCTGACATGAACACCAAAGAACATCTGATGATAAAAAATCATTAAGTCTCCTTTTGTTGGTGTTTATTTTTCTAAAGTTTTCATGCAGCATAAAATCACATACTTTGAAGTAATGTTTTAATTGTTGTCGCTTATCTTTCTTCATTCCATGTGAATTTTGAATTATAATAATTGAGTAGTAAAGTTGCTAAAACTACTCAAATTATTTGAAATAATCATATCTTTTAATTGTCCTAATCTGAGTTCATATTATGACATTAATAAAATTTCTGAAACTGTTACCACAGATGTTCTGATATGGTTTTAGATTAAATTAAAAATTATGTCTAATGATGAAGTGCGTTTTTATTACTATATAGGTTGGTGTGCTGGAGTTATATGTTACTTTCTGGGGTGATGTTCTGACTTTATTATAAAAAATAGTTAATTTCAAATATATATTTGATTGATTTCTTCTGGCTGAATAATGTAAGATCACTCGAAGATAGATAAATGAGACAGATAGATAGATAGATAGATAGATAGATAGATAGATAGATAGATAGATAGATAGATAGATAGATAGATAGTTGGGGGAGATCAAGAAAGAGAAAAACAGAAAGACAGATAACATTCTACATATTAAGAATAGATAAAATATCAACATGAACATTGGAGCAACTTTAATTTTTTTCTCCATTCCTTTGAATAAATTAATGAGACAAATTATAGTCTCATTATTTTTTTTTATCTTTTAAATGCATTTTTTTACTACCTATTAGCCCAAATAGGTAGTAAAAAAAAAATACTTTAAAAGGTTAAAAAAACCAGGCTCTGATGATCGCTCACCTCAGCTGTGATGGTGGGAGCCTTTTTTTTTTACCTTTTAAAAGAATTTTTTTAACTACCTATTCAGGCCAATAAGTAGTAAAAAGATGCTTTAAAATGTAAAATGCTTTTAAATGGTTTAAAAGGTAAAAAAAAAAAAAAAATGTCAGAATTCCAGGAAACCCTCCCCCAAATTCCAGTAAAAACAATGAAGATGTGCTTATGAGAATTAAAATTGGTTCTTGTTTTTTATCCATGTCCATTTTCATTTCTATATACTGTACATACAGTGTCTGTGTGTCTCTGTGTGTGTCCTGCCAACCTAACAATTCAAAAGCATGTAAATGCAAGAAGATAAATAGGTACCACTTCAGTGGGAAAGTAACTATGTTTCGTGCATCTTCAGTGCATAGTCATGCCAGCCACATGACCATGGAAGCATCTTCAGATATAGGTTCTTCATTTGTGAATCAAAGATGAGCACCGCACTTGGGTTGGTCATGACTGACAGGGGAAATCTTTACCTATACCCACCTAAACCTTTACTATAAATATATAAATTTGTTTTTGTGCATGTGTCTTTTCTTTGTCTTTGTCTTTTTGTCAGTCAGCCCTTCAGTGTATTACAGATTAGGAAAGCTATATCATATAAATCAGTACTACTTTTATCTGACCTTGTCTTGGTAATGGTCTCTCAATGCCATTACCTTTACCTTCTACACTATCTCTCTTTCGATATTGAGAAAGCATTGGAAAAGCAAAGCAATTGCAATGTATTTTTATTCACATACAATCAAACTTCCCTGAATTGTTCCTTTCTCAACTCTGAAATTAGGATTATTCTCCTGAGTCAAACAAAACTCTTTTCTCCAACGGCACACTTTTATGGCCAAGGCTCGTTCCCAATTCCCCTTCTAATTATTAAAATCATGATTATTTATTCTCCTTTGAACAAGGTTTATGGGATTTCCACCACCACAATTAGTTGCCAATCAATGTGATAACAAATGGGATAGACAGCATGTGATAATCTGATTTGTAACATCCTCCTGTGATGAGATCAGAGTTTGGGGTAAAGCTGGGCAAATACTCTAGCAGTCTGAAATTGCAGATAACTCTTCCAAATCTGGGGGCAAACTGGACCTTCTTCACTGTAGTTGTGGTGTTTTTGTGATCTCTGAGATTTAGCTCTGTGCTGAAGAAAGAACTTTAGGAAGGATTTCCTGCAGTATAGTGGATGTCAAATGTTGCTGCTGCTGCATATACAGCTTTTTCTGCTTCAGTTTCTGTCTCAAATTCCCTGTGCCAGTACACTGATGAAATGTCCATTTAAGGTGATAATAGAAGAAAACGAATGGTTCCATTACTACAAGCCAGGAGACTACTGGATTACGGGAATAATGTCTGGAATTGGAGCTCGATTGTACCCATTTTCATTCTCCGAGCCTCCAACCCACCAACTGAAAAGGTAATTGTCAACTCGTCCAAGGATTCTGGTGATTGATTTTACCTCCTCCAATGTCTTTTCTTTATACATACATACATACATACATACATACATACATACATACATATTTAAATATATATATAATTTTCTTTTAATACAAACATTCCCTCTTTCAGTAAACAGTGTGTCATCAGAGTACATATTTTTGTGTCATGACAATTAAAATTTACCACCATATTCATTATTTGTATCTATTCTTATATTACTACTAATATTTAACATACCTATTATTATAACATTTCTCTTCTTAATTTCATATTTATTCTTTAATCATTGATAGAATAACTCCCATATATTGTAATAATCAGATTCTTCCTTTCTTTTGATTGCAAGTGTTTATCTATTCATTTCTGTACATTCTAATATTTTCTTACTCATATTTTCATCCGTAGAGATCTCTTCACTTTTCCAATTTTGTGCAAAAACAATTCTAGCTGCAGTTATTACATGAATAATCTAGTATACATTTTCTTTGCTATAAGCTTCTGGTAGAATACACAACAGGAATAGTCCAGGTTTAAAATCGTTATGTTGCTGTGCCATCTTCTCCAACCACATACCTCCAATGACTCTTCTAGGAATTATTTCCTTTCCCCTATTCCTCACCTTGAGAAAGTCAAGTCATTATTGCTCATCCCAATTTGCTTTAGAGGAAAGGCTCCTGCGGAACCTGATGATTTTGTAAAACCTGAGTTTGCAAAGTTTCTTTTTAAATTCTTCCACAAGTTTAAGCCTGGGCAACACTGGGCACTGCCAACACTGTCCCACAATGAATCTTGCCTCGATGGGGTTCTGCCTGCTTTTAAAATGAATACCTTGGGACTGTGGAGAGTCAGCAACTTATTTATTCATATCTATTTTATTTATTTATTAACAATATTTAAACAGTAACTCCCAATAAAGTGATTGAATGATACCTTAGAACAGAGAGAGATCGCTGGTATTTTCTCCCTACTGTTTCTTCCCCTTCCTTTCATTTACTCTATAATTCCTACCACCGTCTCTGCTCTTTCTTTCCACCCTTTAACACTTTTGCCACTTTTGTGGCTTTCCTGTTCCTTTTGGTTTAAATAAAAGGATACTTTTTAAAAACCAAATTCAAGGAGGGGATAGGCTTTATGTGATAAGTTAATGTTTAGTCACAGAGGAATCACATTAACTGTAGTTAACTGTACAATATAGGACAATAACTCTAAAGCCATGAATGTTGTTGCTGCGAAGTTGTGTCCAGCCCATTGCGACCCCATGGACAATGTTCCTCCAGGCCTTCCTGTCCTCTACCATCCCCCAGAGTCCACTTAAGCTCATGCCAACTTCTTCAGTGACTCCATCCAGCAACCTCATTCTCTGTCCTCCCATTCTTCTTTTGCCCTCCATCGTTCCCAGCATTAGGCTCTTCTCCAGTGAATCCTTCCTTCTAATTAGTATTTGAGTTACATCTTCAGGATCTGGCCTTCTAAAGAGCAGTCAGGGTTGGTCTCCTCTAGGACTGACTTGTTTGTTCGCCTTGCAGTCTAAGGGACTCACAGGAGTCTTCTCCAGCACCATAGTTCAAAGACCTCCATTCTTTGTCACTCAGCCTTCCTTATGGTCCAACTTTCACAGCCACACATAGCAACTGGGAAAACCATAGTACTTGCTATTCCTACACTTGGTAGCATCCCTTATTAGTATTCTTGAGGACTGGGAAGATACAGATTCCAAGCCCCAAGCATTGGGCTAGGATGGAGATTAATGTTTAGTTGCAGAGGAATCCCATTTACTGCAGTTAACTGTAGAATATAGGACAATAACTCTAAAGACATGAATGTTGTTGTTAGTCACGAAATTGTGTCTGACCCATCACCACCATGGACAGCATTACTCCAGGCCTTTCTGTCCTCTACCATCCCCCAGAGACCATTTAAGCTCACACTGACTGCTTCAGTGACTCCATCCAGCCACCTCATTCTCTGTAGTCCCCTTCTTCTTTTGCCCTCAATCGTTCCCTGCATTAGGCTCTTCTCCAGTGAGTCCTTCCTTCTCATTTGGTGGCCAAAGCATTTGAGTTTCATCTTCAGGATTTGGCCTTCTAAAGAGCAGTCAGGGTTGATCTTTTCTAGGACTGACCAGTTTGATCGCCTTGCAGTTCAAGAGACTCTCAGGAGTCTTCTCCAGCACAATAGTTCAAAGGCCTCAATTCTTTGGGGCCAGCCTTCCTTATGGAAGCCATGAATATTTTGCAGAAAATCTCTAGGTCTAAGGAAGGCTTGCTAAAGAGATATCCATCTTCAGATAGGTAATACCACTTGCTAATCTAGCACTTGAATCCCAACTGTTAGTCCTCTCCTGGGTGATATAACAGGAAGAAATCATATCATATGATCACAACCTATATATGTACACTTGGTAGCATCCCTTATTAGCATTCCTGAGGAATGGGAAGAAAAGGATCTTGTATAGTTCTTCTGTGTAATTTTGCCACCTCTTCTTAATCTCTTCTGCCTCTGTTAGGTCCCTGCCATTTTGGTTCTTTATCATGTCCATCTTTGCAGGAAACGTTTCCTTCATATCTCCAATTTTCTTGAAGAGATCTCTGGCCCTCCCGATTCTTTTGTTTTCATCTATTTCTTTGCACTGTTCATTTAAGAAGGCACTCTTATCTCTTCTAGCTATTCTCTGGAATTCTGCATTCAATTGCGTGTATCTTTCTCTTTCTCCTTTGCCTTTCGCTTTCCTTCTTTCCTCAGCTATTTATAAAATTTCTTCTGACAGCCATTTTCCATTCTTGCCTTTCTGTTTCTTTGGGATGGTTTTAGTTGCTACCTCTTGTACAATGTTGTGTACCTCCTGTCATAGTTCTTCAGGCACTCTGTCTATCAGATCTAATTCCTTAAATCTATTAGTCACCTCTACTGTATATTCATCAAGGATATGATTTAGTTCACAACTGAGTGGTATGATTTTAATTACATTTTATGGATTGTTGTGAATTGATATGAGAGATATATTAGCTTTGCAAATACGTAAGTAAATAAAATAAATGCTTTGGTTTTGCAAAAAGTTTATTATAAGCAGATTGAAACATG